GGGCGCAGTCGAGATGGGCGGGGGGGCGGAAGGGAGGGGGCTGGCGGACGGGAGCGACGAATTGCGGAGCCCGGCGCAGCCCGCAGGCGGTTGGGCACCGGCGCGGGAGGCCGCTCGCTCGGGCGGCTGGCTGGCCCACCCGAGATTTGTTCCCCGCCTTCAACTCCCACCTTGCCAGTGCCGTCGTCGACGGCATGCCCGCCGCCGCCATTGGCCTGGTCGGCTCTCGCGCCGCCGGACAGCAACCGCAGCCAGTGTGGTAGCGGCTGTGGGGTGTTGCAAGGGCAACATGGCGTGGCCGAGACCGTTTCATCGGGTGCCGCGACAAGCGTGTTCAGCCGTGGTGTATAAGACCATGTGAACGTACGTGTGTACGCCAGAGCACGCATGCAAGAATCTCGCGGCACACCTACCGCACGCTCGACCGCCAGCTCGCGCGTGCGGCACACCTCCTGGTCCGAGGGGCGCAGCGGATCTTGGTGCCGGCATCCGTGTTTGTAGCAAGGAGTGCCTGTTCGCGTGTCTCGACGGCAACCCCCACACGCGACGCCGCCAGCCCCACCCCCATACCTCCCCATGTTCCCAGCAGAGAAGCGCGCGCCGTACCTGCTTGTCTTCGCGATCCAAGTGCTTATCAAGGGGCGCGTTGCTGGTTCGCCAGGCCGGCCCCTCGTCCGCGCGAAGAGCCTCAAGGCGGCCGCGTCTGTCAACGATATGCAGGTGGGTCCCGCAAAGGGCTTCACCGTGCGACATTGTGGTGCGGGCACGCACGTGGTTGTCTGCTAACAGGCGGGGATGTTGGCCGAGGCGCGCGCCGCCGTACCAGACAGGGCGCTTGCTTGGGCCGCACGCACGCCGGCACACACGGGCGGCCATCCGGGGCGGGCTCGGCGCCTCGGGCGTCGGTATGTTCGTGGTGCACACCTGTACACGCAGGCCCGGAGGGGCCGTGAGCTCCTCGGCCAGGCGCCGCGCCGCGTCGTCAGCCAACCGGCGCTCCTGTGATCATAGAGAGATATACACGCTTGCGGCGGGCCTCTGTGGCATGCATGACAGGTGCCGTGACCCGGCAAGAGGGAATGTACTCTAGTGACGTGCACCGCTCGATTCTCAGAGCGTGAGCCCGCGCCGCGGCATGCACACCTCAATGAACGCGGTGAATTCCGCATCTGAGTCCGCATCTGAGTCAATCCGGCGGTTGTCGCGCGCATGCGTGCGGTCGCCCTCCGCGCCATATGTGCCGCTGCTGCTCTCGCCATGCAGCTTGGCGCCTCCGCCTCCTACTGCTAACGCTGCCACGGTTTCACGAGTGCCTGATGACGTGTTCTGCATGTCACGTCCCTGTATGAGAGCACGTGCGAATCGTGGAAGGGGATCCTGGCATGAGGTCTGGGTAAAGTGCGTTTTCACTGGTGTCGAGTGGCGCGGCTACCAAACAACCGAGAGCGTATCGTACTATAATATTGCGATACCGGGGCCCGACGCGAGCTCGAGCTGTCGAACCACATTTGAATGTGCCAGCCAAAACGCAGCTACGGCCACACCGGCCAGGGTGGCAGCTTCCACCTGGCGTCCACGCGAATAAGTTTTTACAAGTATCTCAAGACTTTGAAACGACTATCGTACAAGAACGTGCTGTTTGTCGCGTCATCCCAGAGCAGCGGGCGGCACAGCACTCACAGGGCAGCGCGGTGGCGCAAAACCAGCCAGCAAGGCTCCGCGACAGGGATGTTCGCGTTGTGCCGGGATGAATCATTTGCAGAGTGTGTCACGCAGGCGACGCCGCCGCGCGAGCCGTCGTCGCCGCTGGCAAATGCGGCTCGCGCTGGGCCTGGCGAGATGCGCACCTTGTTGTTTTGGCGCGAGGCCAGATCGCAGCTGGGTGTAATCGGCGCGGCCGGCGGCCTGTTGCTGCTATGTGTGCCAACACAAGGGGGTGCGATGCTGTGGCTAGGCCTATGTCGCTGTTGCCGAACGGTCATGTCGTCAACAACTGCGAGATCTGCTGGCATTCAGGAGTGTGACGGTGTGACCACCTGCCTTATCTGCCGTCCATGCGGCGCAAACGCGATTGGCTCAAGCAGGGCAGGCGGTACTGCGCGTCACGAAGACTATCAACAAGTCACGTGCCCAGTTGGTCAGCACAGCAACTGTCGGGCGTGCTCTAGCCAGCGGACGCACGCCGCTCCAGTGGCTGCCAGTCGAGGAGGGCCGCATGCTCAGCGCAGTCAACGCACAGCTGCGCGTAGCATTCAGCCAGAAGCACATTCGGTCCCAGACTGGCACGTGGGCGTTTGCTGACAGCAAGATCTTTTATTTGAACCAGGATGGCGCTGGCGCGCTGCGGATGAGGTGGCAGAATCCTAACAAACGCGCGTCACGCGCCTGTTGCGGCAACCCTGTCGTGATGCATGTTTATGCGGTTGTGGCCAAGGGGCACAAGTCAAACCTTTTCTTCACAGCGCCCACGCCTCCGCCTGGCACCAAGCAGAAGAAATCCAATGTCAACTTCAACTGCACCTACTTTGCCGCTGTGGCCGAGAAGCTGCAACAGGCCCAGGTCAGCCGGGGGCGGGCCACCCCTTGGTACCCCCTCGTGCTTGACCACCAAGCAGCACACGTCCCAGGCGTCGCAGGCGACCATCCGCCGCATTGGCTTGAATCTCCTCAAGGAGTACCCCCCTCAGAGCTGGGACATCAATATCATTGAGAACGTTTGGGGGCTGCTACAGCAGCAGCTGGAGCGGAGGCCGGCCCGCCAGCCGACAACGCCCGACGGCTGGTGGACTCGCGTGCAGCGCGCATGGGAACGGGTCAAGCAGTCCAGCATTGATGAGCTTATTGCTGGTGTACCCGAGAGGCTAGCAGAGATTGTAGAGAAAGATGGTGCATGGCTTTACAAGCACAAGTGAGAACCAATGGCTCACCCTTGTCCAAGCAGTCGGCATGGGCCGCTTGGTCGCTGCACCGGCTGCCAACAACGCGCGCAGCAAACGGTTGCATCAGCACTTGTCCACACTCTGTCCTGAAATTCAACACATGTGATTCTTCATGCCATGAATGACTGCCAGTGATTTTGAGATCTGGCTTGACTATCAGCCCCCTGGACTTGGGCTCACCACATGCATGCCGTTTCGGGCCGATGGTGTGTTTCGCAGCCGCCGCTGCCGCACCGTCTTTGCCCCACCACCCCCGTCCTTCAATTACGTAATGCACTTACTAAAGACCGTGGATTCACAGAAATCCCATGTAACAGGAACCACAGCAAGACCAGAGTTGACGGTCAAACTTGGTCAAACCCAGCAGCCCAGCCATGGTGCCCTTAGGGGGTTGCGCAATTAACAGACCGCATGCGCGTGGCTCCAACCACTCTCAGCCCAGGGTTCGAAGTTAGTGGCATGCACACATGCAACCCTAATGACTTGTGTTTGTGGGCCAATGGGGTTGCAGCCCTCAAGCATACATGTCTTCCTGCAGAGAGTGCTGCTGATTCAGAGATGATCGTCAACAGCGATCCGACGGGCATCTCCAGTGCCCCGGAGCGGCGCAGCGCTTGGTCATGGGGGACTCAAATTGGGTGGTGCATGCACCATACACAACCGTGTTTTGCCTGCATCAGGTCCTTGCAACCCAAGCCCCAAAGCTCAAGCCCTGCTAGCAGCAACCCTGGGTGGTACGCTGGCAGCACCCCCATCGGGAACACAGCAGCATCGGCTGAGCGCCAAGAGGTGTGCTCCCTGCATCAGCAATGGACATCCTTAGTTGCACAGAGTGCTGATGTGCCCGTCGGTCTGGCGGCGCGCAACAGGCGCAACAGCTGAGAGCGTCGAAATTACGCGTCACCGGAGGTGAAACGCTACTGGTTGGCTGACTGTGATGGGGTGGGTGAGGGGGCCTGTTGCATCCTTTGAGGCCCGAGGCCGCACCCGGCAGTCGAGGAGGCGCGCTGCGAGCGTGCGCGGTCGCCACTGCAGCGTGTCAGGCTTGGCAGAGCGTCGCCTGCGTTGCGCGCCCGCGCCCCAGCGCCGCCCGGCAGGCAAGCAGCTACAGCGGCGCGAGGCTGCGCACCTGTGGCACGTAGACACCGGGCTGCTGCTCCGCGACCTGCAGGTATGAATATGACTCCGCCGCCCGTCCACACACCCCGCCCGCCGCCGCCCGGCGCGGCGGCACCGCCGCCGCCGCCTGCTTGCACCGCTGCCCGCGCCGCCCCCCGCCGCCGCTGGACGCGCCGCCGTCGCTGCCGCCGCTGGCGATGTCGGAGGCGTCCTCCTCCGCGCTGCTGCTGGCGCCGTCGCTGCACGACGCGCCGTCGCACCGCCCTCGGTGTCGCCCTCCTCCACCGCCGCCAGCGTCGCCGCGCCTGCGCTTGCGCGCCGCGTGCTGGCGGCCGCGCGCTCCCTCCTGCTGGCGCGGCTCGCCGTGGGCGCGACGGCGCTTGCGCCTGGCGGCAAAAGGTATGGTGCGCCGCAGGGGATTGCAGTGATAATGATAGCGTACAGAGTTCAAACAATGACAGGTCAATGTTGAATAAGAGAGTGTGGAACGGCAGCGCTGAACTGTGCGACGTCCCATGGCAGCACAACAGATTCACGGATCCCCATGGCACCCATGCAGCGACGTCCAGCCCCCCAACCTGCAAAGGGCTTCAAACACAGTGACGCGACATGAGATCACCCACCCCCACCTGTTGGCCGCCTCCAGGGCCTCCCCATCAGCATCCAATTCTGCCTCCTCATCTGCCACCCCCTCTGCTGCGTCTTTCATGGCGCGGCTCACCAGCTGCCGCCCGCCTGGCACCGCTGCGCGCTGCTGCTGCTGCTGCTGCTGGCGCTGCTGGTGCGACTGCTCCCCTCGTCGCCCACCGCCCGCGGCGCCGTCTGCGCCCGCCCGCCGCCCGTGCACCCGCGGCGACGGCTGCTGCGGCGCCACGGCCGCCGCGGCCCCGTCTCCGTCGCTAGCCCTGCTGCCGTCCTCGCCGCTGCCGTCCTCCGCCTCGCCATCTTCACTCCACTCCTTAGAATTTCCGGGTCGGGGGACACAGCGGGGGCGGGCCGATTTCGCGCGTGCAGTGGGCGCAGGGGTGCCGCGCACGCCGCCGCCGGTGGAGGCCCAATGTTGTGCCGCATGCGGGCGGCCCATGAGCACACACATGCTCATGCAGCGGCGGGGCGCGCATGTGAAATCAGGGCGTGCATGCATGGGCCGGGC